GGTCACCAGGAACTGGAGACAGTACATGAGCCAGCTGCGGTAGCAGGGACGAGGTTTCGCTGCCTTGATCATTTCACAGTTCAAGTAAGGACTGCTCTCTTAAACCTACGACTTCTCTAAGGTAGAAACAACATTCTATTGTCTCAAATACTGCATACATGACTAGAGAGATAGCTGCTCTTGTCAGCTACCCTTCGGCTATAGGAGCTCGAGCTCCGGAATATCTTTGGACACTTACCACTGGTATCGGGATCGTTGGGCGGCGGCATTGCACATGTTTTGAAGATAACACCAGTTATTTAGTCAACTCAGAAAGGAAAACTGGGCACGTTGTGTAGCTTCAGGTCAGCACCATGTGTACCTGCTCGTCTATTAAAGATATCTTAAATTTTATTGCCAGCTAGTAAAAGACATAACAGTCTTGCAAGGCAAAGATTACATGTGGCCAGACGGCCGAAATGTAGATGTATGTCACTAGATTGGGCTCTTACGGTTTCAGTACATGGCTCTCAGCCTGCACCACTGGCCTATTCGTTACCGTCTCCTAGCCGAAATGCTTGTGTTATTTGTGCGTTGTCTGTGGCGTAAGGTTGATTATGAAGAGAGTCAGTAAAGGCCGCTAAGGAGTTGTCTAGCCGATGCCACTTTTTCTTCATACAAATGCCAACAGTTTGTGACCGTGTGCTACTGACAGGGTTTAGTCAGTTTTGTCCGAAAGGTATGCTTAAAGCTTTAGATAACTCCTTAGGTGTTCTTTATCTAAATTCTAGTTTCTTATCACTAAGGGTCGTCCTTGTCGTTTGACAACGAATCACATGTTTGCATATTTACCTTCTGCTATTAACCAAAATGGTGATCGAAATTAGGTTCAAAAGAGATGGTGAACCGGATGTGTGTGCACCGACAGTTCGTCAAGGTTTTGTATTTACCATGGCCAGCTATGGTCTGAACTGCTTCCGTGTAAACAAACCACACCGATTTGGGTTCTTTCACTTTCTAGTTATTCAATACACCCTATCTTAAGTATTTAACTGTTCTGTATTTGGCATGATGATGAATCACCGAAAACGAGCTTGTTTACTAAACCGCCTTTTCATGACTGTAACAGGGATCATACCATTTGAGACTATATATAGCCAAATACTCCGGCCCGCAATCGTTTCACTCTCTTACTTACAACAGTGGCTTCCAGTTTATCTTGTGACAGGTATACTTTCGGTGTGCACAAATATAGGACTTGGAACACGAACAAGCAGTAAATTTGACGATGAAGTTGGGATGGTCTACGCGTTTACTGGTCTTACTTCCTATCACTGAGGTTGATGGTATTATCTGGCGCGCCATTTGCTGAAATCCATTACACCGTGAATGACCCATACATGCAGCTGGGGTAAAGACACACAACAAACTACTATCCTTTCGTCCTGGGGGCGAACCAAGTGGGATACGCATGTCGTACTTCATATCACCATAAAGATTCAGTCCCACAGACCAGCGTAACAATGATATTTTCATGATATTTTTCCTTCTTCCTCCTACCAGGAGTGGGTATCTCACTCACTCCAACACATGCTTGACAGGTAGACTGAACGATGCTCTTGTTCTTGGTACTCACCAATTCACCTCATGTAAAGTGGGCTCGATGCCACCTGTTGCTGGCTATGGGGCAGACGCACATGCAGTCACCTCCTATAAAATACCATGATAACTGCGGGTAACAACCCCCTTATCAATTTATGCATGAACGGTCTACTGGACATCTGTTTCCCTCGGTGGCATTTTGCTGAGCAATCTGTTGTAGCAACATTTTCGGACTCTCCGAAATGAAGTGTTATTAGTCTTTGGTTGCTGTGATGTCTCACTCATCCTGCTTGCAAAGCAGTACGACCGCTACCAGCGGTGGTGGGATAATAGATGGTTATAACCCCATTTAACTTTCCCGACAGGTAGTCATGGTTAGACAGTACGATATGAGTTGGTACGAGCACTTTGCACATTATAGGAATTGCAAAAGGTCAGTGTATGATATCACTTTACCACCCTTTTCTACGGCCCACTATAGCTGTTTGATTTCGAACTGGAAGTCCAACCAATTTTAGAGGTGCTTGTTGGCAAGACCATGGAACAAGCGTTACTGGAAGTGATGGAAGAAGAGGAACTAGCCGATTTAAGGTGCCAACAAGAAGTGTTGCAAGAGATACGCAATGCTGATTTGGCAGAAGTTGCACGCCTGGAGGACCGCAATCGCCGCTATGAGTGAGTTGTCTATGTGGGTATGAAACCATATGACCTCAGCCTAGCCCCCATAACATTTCTAGAGCTTTAAAAGATATTCCTTTTCAAAGTTCAGACTAGATAAGTTCTCCAATAGCATTTAGCCTTAATGCTCACTGTAACTGACACTTCCTTCGAGTTGAACAGCAGGAAAACCTCCGGTTACTGTAGGTCACAACGCTCTAGACGGCTCGCTGTTCTCCTAGGGTCTTTCCGAATGGAACTGAAAAGATAATTTACCTTTTGTATTCGGTGAACTAGGAGGCACGGTAAAGTAGTCGACCTTGTACACTCAACCTCACCTAGATTGGAAAAGTGTTGCGTAGCGATTGCCCCACAGGAACACGCCCCTTCACGAGACAACTTCAGGTTGGCATATCACAAAATGCACCTACCAAACGATATTTAAAAGGATGATGTAAACAGGAAATTCATACACCCCCTGGTGCATGAGCAAGAGCGAAAGGAGACTATGACTCGCATGGCGCAACCACTACGACCGATACTACAGGCCCTAGTAACTTATCGCGTATGCTGTACCCAAATAGATGCCGGCACTCAAATGCTGGTCCATTAGACACAGCCTATGGGTGTTTAGGAGAGGGCTTTCACAATGCGTGCAGATTCCCAAGACTATTAGGTTAAAATTGTTAACACGGTATTTTGTGGTTGGATAATCCAATAATCTGTCTGTCCCCCTAGGTTTATGAGCCTTAAGTAAGATCGTCACAGCTAGCTTTTCTACTACAACTCCCACAGAGCTAGAAAGTGCTAGATGGGCCATTAGTTCTACTTAGGCACACCTGTATTTCACATTCGAACCCATGATTTTCATCAGCGGCTTGCTCCGATAAGCCAGGAGGGAACGCTTGGTAGCCCAAGCGTCCACGTTGCATGCTGTGATATGTCGTGTCGCATTCTCACCCTCTGCGCACACGTTGCTACGATGTAGAGGAAGGTGCTTGTCCCCAGAAGTAGTCTTCGTTGCTAGACTTTCAACTTTCGCATGTCTCTACAGCCTGCTACATAATCACTGAAATTAAGTATGTAATAGTGAGATTGTCCATTTGATTCATCGTAACTGAATTCCACCAATAGTCTAGCTATTTTGCTAACCATAACATGCCTCGTAAGCATGTCAGTGACTTATTCAACTTCTGTAAAGCAATATCGACTGAAAACGGCTTCTGGTCAATCGGCAGTTCATTTTGGCTCCAGGCTTTGATGCACCTAACTTGGATCTGGTCAGAATGCGACCTCCACTCATCCCACGTTTGTTTGCTATTTTGTAAAGTCTGGGGCACACGATACATGCGCTCATTGGTGATTAGCGTCATTCTGCCAGCAGCTTCACTCATACATGCTATGTTTAGTGTTGGCCCGAAATAATAAGCTATAAGGGAATATGAGTTAGAGGCATCATCGCTACGAGGCAACACAATCATGGTTACGCGAAATCATCGTGACAATTCCCTGGTTACGCCCATGTAATATAAACCCAAGCACAATACGTAAAACTCAAGCATTTTGTCGGCCCTCAATTAGCTCTGGATGGGTGGGAGAGAACTGCGTACTTGATGTGCACGGGGCGATGGCCGAAACGCGGCCTGTATTGAGACTACCCATCCATCACAGCAACTATAGGAAGACTGTTCTCTCTACTTTACTTAGTATCAATCGTCTCTTATGGTCAACAATGGAGGCAGCCGCGATTTTTCAGTCGCCGTTCCGCCATTCGTGCCATACCGAGCAAATCTAGGAGGAATTAACATGTGTGTGAGACAAAACACAGTTACACATCGAAGCATAGCCAACATGCAGTGTTAAGACACGGCATTTGCCACATCAGCTTCAGCGAAAGGACTGTGTGTCCGCAATGGGTGTTTGGATACGCTCAGTGGTGAATTTTGCCAAACTAAAGTGCAGTAGGAAGGTCAGCCAAACGTATCGGCCTGAACTGACCATGTTATGGAGCCATCTGTTTTGCAGGGCAGACGGGCGTAAACTTGGAACCGGAGGGTTGAAAACAGAGTAGAAATGCTCTGAAAATCCGTCTTTGGAGGGATAACTAGTAACACCTCGTACCTTTCAGTTCGCCGAGGCCACCCCACCAAGTGACCACGCCATTCTCGAGAAGCCAAACTGAACCGACTAGACCCATCGGCGGCGCACATTTGGGCGATAGAGTTGGACCAAGCATGTTCAGTGCGAACTAATTCTTTTGAAAAAAAACTACTCTAACTGAACTCAGTGATTTGGTCGGATGTTTCCTGAGTACCTATCATTCCACGAGCGAATAGCGGACTTTTATATCAGGTCCAGTTAAATGTGACTTCAGTTTCCATATATATTCGTTGTATAGGGTTAACAAGTGCTGCGAGGAAAACACATGGATTGCAGACTATACTGATTTGGAGACTTGTGAGTTCAAACGCAAAGTCACAGTTTCACTGCGAAATGAACCATGGAGTGCACATGCAGGTTAACAAACTTAACTGGAGTCGGTATTTATTGATTTCGTCCAAATTAGGTGGCGGAGGACGACACACGTGGCATCAACCTTATTCCAGAGTACTGAATACGTACACGATTCCATAGGGTCCGACAGGTCACATCATAGATTTATAGCCCCAGTTAATGTATATTTCTGTCCCGGTGAAAGGTTTAAATAAGCGATTTTAGGTATTCCTATGGGTTTACTGGACATGGAAATTTGTGTTCCTGGATTTCACTGAGTTGTATAGAGGGCAGAGGATATGTCTCATGTCAGCCTCGTCACCTCCATTTCAGCACAAGTAGCATGTAAGTCGTTTCGGTCAAACGGTCCTCAAGGAGCTAGGGTAGTCACAACAAAACAGTACTGTCCTGTAGTTCATGAGACGATTGAAACTTTCCTCAGTCTGGGTATTGACAACGTTTTCCGGAAGACTATTCCAGTCAACGAACACTAATTTACCAAGGGTAAAATAGCGAGTGCTTGACAAGTCTTGTTGGATGGCCAGAGCATGTATTTCGAAACTAAGTGTAAAAATGACAGAAAATTATTCGGGTTTTAACTGACTTACTAAGCTATTCACTTTAACACAGCTGCAGGTTTCCTCACGGCTACGTTACGGAGAGCGCTGGTGAGCACAATGTTTGGGTCTCAAAGTTCCGTCTTCCGATTAAAAAACACTATATCAAGCAATACAAAAGCCTTGAGGTAAGGGCACTAATGAGCATTCTATGTTCGGGACATCTGAAGGGAGAAAAACTTTTGTCAGCAATCTAACCGACTATAATGCGTGGCAAGTATGAGCTGGTGGCCACTCCCCTTAGTATTGTGTCTGCTTTGTAGTGGATCGCGACAAACATGATTAGGGTTCGTCAGTATTAGACTTACCATGATAAAGTCTCCTGGCATACACCGATATCCGCCGCTGTACTGCCCAAAGTTTTGCAGTCTGAGCTAGTGAAGGATGTAACCTTATCCCTTGACGATTTTAACCGCTCTGCGTCGTGAAGCTTCAACTGCATCAACATTGTGTTTGCGCCAGAGACGCTAAGCTCTGATGGCATTTTCCATATCAGACTTCAAGTAGGCGTTCAGCATTTCGAACTTCCCGAACGTCCTTCGTAGGATCCCAAGGTGCTGAATGCCCTTTTATGTTTTTTCGGCCTATTTCGAGCAGCGAAGTTTATCATGCACGATTACCCCAAGGTCTCTTTCCTGCGTAACGTAATGCAACTGAAGTTATCCAACTCGATTTTCATGAGTACGCTAATGGCATATGTTTAAAACTTTGCATTTCGCTGTTGAACTGAAGTCGATTTTCGGAATACCACGTTTAGTCCCTGTCAAACTCTCTCTGCAGTGCCGTATGATCGTCATCTGCCTTGATGTCATGCCATATCTTGATATCGTCCGCAAATATCACGCAATTCGACTGGAGTACACTGACTAGATTGTTGATGAATACTAGGAATAAACCTGGTCCCAGTACATTTCTTTGAGGTAAATCACACTGGATTTCAGTTTGATCGGAAACGGCACTGCAGACTAATATTCAGCTAATGTTGCATGAGGAAATTGCTTATGTAACCCAGGAGAAAGTTACCAGTCCCATTACCCTGAAGCTTGTGAAGCAAAATGCGGTACTCCAAGCGAGCGAAAAAGTGAAGTTCAGTGGACGACATCGAATCCTACTCTAGCATTGACATATTTCCTTCGGCTTGCTCGGGCTGGCAGCAGATGTGCAGTGTATGACAAATATCTGTTGAATTCGCACTTCCGTGAGACTATGAGGTTGTTAAACTCAAGGTATCCAATGAGCACTTCCGTGATACTAGCTTCCATTATTTGAGTAGCACGGCAAAGAGAGCGATTGGACGGTTGTTTGCGGGCTCCTCACCATTGCCACTTGTGTAAATAGTAGTGACTATTCCAGATTTTCACGTCTTGGGAACCTAGATTTCATCAATGCACCGTTGACAGTACCGAGACAACGGTTCGGCGATGTTCATGTCGATCGTCTTATAATCAGCGATCTATGCTTCGGTTGCCAAGATGATGTCCCTAGGCATTGAAACGTTATGTGTACGAAGCTCGGTTAGCTTGCTGAGTATACCATGCGCGCTGGTGAGATGCTCAGTTATTGGGGGGCTGATTTGTGGGTGCGGATTTCAGGTGAGAATGCATGCCAGTCCATGTTGGTCTGCTTCCAGTCGTATTTTTGCTGAACCTCTGACACAGTCCAGGGGCCATTCCAGGTAGGTGTGTAGAGTGCTCACCGGTTGCAGGTGGCTGATAATCTAGATCTTCTTCAGCCGTCGGAGCGTTTTAACAGCGTCCCAGTTCTGAGCTGCGTTCTGATGGGGTCGTACAAGAGGCCTGCTTGTTTAGTGTCACCTTGTCTGTTTCAACTGCTTTTTACCACATTTTTTGTGTTCTTCCTATTGTGGTTTTTTATTCCAGTGTTACTTTTATCACTCATGGAGCACAC